CAACTGCTCAGATGCTTATGAAATCGATTATATTAGGTCAAAAGTCAACTGTGGCCCACATACAGTCAAACCTCAAGATTTTGGGTCAACATCAACATTTTGAAGTGACTTCCATCATTTGATCAAGGTCTGGTCATGATTCCTCAGGGATTGCTCCCAATTCATCAAAACCCAAAAGTTGCTAAATTAGGGTTTCTTAGTAAAAGTCAACCCAACTTTGACCAAGCATAACTTCCACATGCTTTATCAGATATTTTCAATCCAAATTTCATTTTGAATAGGATATAATTCCCTACAATTCATCTTCATCTCACAAGTTCAAAATATGCACTCATAAAAATATATGAATTTTCACATTATAGGTCCTTTTGAAAAGTCCACAAAAACACCTTTTGGGTCAAAGCTTCATACATGAACATGGAAGACTCAATTGAGATGAGATCAAAAGGGTTGCTTAAGGGATATCCTAAGATTTCTAAAAAGTCCAAGAACATCTTCCTAGGGTCAAAATTGAGAGAGTTGTGCATTGTCAAAGTTGGCAATTTTTGGGAAATTGTCAAAAGTCAACATTGATCAAATTTGCATTTTTTCCAAAGGGGCCCATGTTTTCTTGTTTGAAACATGTTTCTAATAGGACCCACGACCACTGAGATTTTTCACCTATTATTTTATTATTTTTATCATTTATTTTGATTTTTTATTCATTTAAACCAAAATAAATCAAATTAAATGGTAAAATAATAAAATCAAATCAAATCTTGGGATTTTTGTGCATATTATGAGTCCATATACATCTAGAATGGCATGTAATTCGTGCAAAGATGATTTAGATTGAAAAAGTCATGATTGGAGCTATTTTGGAAATAAATCATACAAGGCCAAAATCAAATCAAATCTTCATAATTCCTCAAGATACCATGAGATTTCTTCCATTATTTTTGACCTAAATTCCTCCTCTATATAAACAAAACACCCTCATACACTAGGGAGGACGAAATTGGCTGCCCAAGAACGCTCTCTAAAAACCTCAAATTCTGTCAAAACTAGTGCAAAGTCAAAACCGAAGATCCAACCACTTTCAGTCCAAGCCATCAATTACAAATCATTCCTGAGGTATCTAAGGGTAAGAATAGGTCGAAAGTCATGTCCATTGATGCTTGAAACAAGCATACTCATCTTCTCTGATTTGCTTTTCTTTCAAACATTCATATAATTAATTTCATGCATTGCTAATGTTTATTAATTGTCCAAATGAGTTCTTGTTGTTACGTAGGACAGGTTTGAATCTCAAACAATAGCTTGGCTTGGTGGATGAGGCGCCTAACTGTAACCCAATGGGCATGGGTTCATCACCCACCCCATGCATTTTTCACTTTTTTGACTATTTTCTTTTCTAACCCTTTTCATTTATTTATTTTTCACTTGATTTGTTTTTTGTCATTAATTTAATTAACATATAAAATCATTAAAAAAATCATTAAATATTAGTTTTAGGCTTTCAATTAATTAAAATAATTTTTGACATAAAAGTTGTTTTGATTTAATCAATATTGATTTTATTTCATAATTAACTTGTAAATTAATCAGAGTTAGGTTTTTAATTATTAATTCACACTTTTATTATTTTCCTAAGAATTTACTGCAGATTCAGTACATCACCATTTCATGCGTCCATCATACACTCACAAATCTTACCCTTTGGATCATCCCTTGGTCCAGATCTAGCGTCCAACCACAACAGCCCATGGTGCACTCTCTGAAGCTAATCCACATGGGATCACACGCAAGGAACATGGGCCAACCAATTTGGCCCTAACAATTTGGCAATGCACCTCCCAGTCTGCATTCTACCACACATGCCCAATCTTTTCTTTTTTATTTTATTTCAATTCTTTTTATTGTTTTAATTTATTTATTTTATTTATTTTCCAAAAATCATTTTTAATCAAAACATAAAAATCAGAAAATCACAAACAATATTAGGTTTAGTCTTTTTTTTCATAAAATATTTAATTGCATTAATTAGTTTAATTAGGTTAACTTAAATCTTTTTTTCATAATTAAAATCAAATAGAAATTAGGTTTAATTCTTAATTTTAATTTCTTCTCAAAATAAAAACACAAAAATAGGTTAATTGTTTTTTTCATTAATTTAATGATTTTTCATAATTAAAACTTAATTAGTGATTAGGATATTTTGCAATTTATTCTTTATTTCCTTAAATAAAAATGACAAAAAAATGATTTTTTTTCTTTAATTAAATTCAATTTGGTTTTCAAGGGTCAAAACCCTAATTTCTCGCATTTACGTTTATCGTACGTACTTTTCATTATATTTTTGTAATTGCTCCGAGGTTGTAATAGTCTTTTAAACCAGGGTTTTATTTACTGTTTAATTACCCCCAAGTTTTAGTTATGTAATCCCCATTCCCCGAAGCCTTGTAGTATTTAGATTTACTTTTCCACTTTTAATTTCCGCAATCTTTAACTGTCTAGATGTATGGCTAATAGGATTGTATGGCAAGAATGTCTGGAAAATTAAAATGGTAGATCACCTAATGTGGAAAGATTAATTAAAACAAATCATATACACATATTCACTCCTAGGGTTTACCTCACTTCGGTTGCCTTCGGTAAACAATCATTAAGCATATGAAATTTTAGTGGTTACCCTCCAGTCTAAAGAGATCAAATTGTCCCATTCGAATGTTGCCTCAGAAATGTTGCCTCAGAAAGATCTTAAGGCTCTAGGGTTACTACTAAAGTTTTCTAACTATTGCTTTGGTGATTGTACTTGTCCCTTTCGAATGTCCCTTACAACTCCAACGACGGTGCTACCTACTCCTTAATAATGGGATAGCGCTGTCTAAAGGAAATAGAACGAACAATTTTTTTCGAGTAGGTAGAATATTAAGTACTTGCTCAATAAAAACTTTTCACTCAAACATCTTTCAAAACAAAGTTTCAAAACAACTTTGTCACATCCTTGAGGACTGATACAAGGATTATCACGAAGTAAAATATTTTCAAAGCAAGCACACACACAAGCAATTTAAAAAAATGAGCAAGTACCTAAGAGCCCATGGAAAACCATGGATAGAAAGGGTGCTAACACCTTCCCTTTCTATAATCTACCCCTCGTACACAGAATATCTCGAAAAAAGGTTTTTTCTGTTCTTTTTTCCTTTTCCATGATTGGATGAAATAAAAGTCGGTGGCGACTCTTGCTTACCGCGACATTTTGCAAACAAAAAACGCAAACCAGTATTAAACAGTCGGTTCTGCCACCGTATCACAGTTTTGCTGCCAAAATATCACACAATATTCGTGAGAAGACCTTTCAAAAACAATTTAGATATGTTCCTTGATGAAAAAAATTATTTGAAATGAAAAGGGGGATCTTGAGCGTGCAATGAATTACAACGTGCAACGATGGAGCAAAGCGTACTACCAATCTAACTTATAATAGTTCAACAACTAATGTGTACTACTTCAATCTTCAATGTGTCTTTTGAGTATCCTATGCATAGATTGGTAGTCATCCACAGCCTGATGAGCCAAATGATCAGCTAATATACTTTCCTTGATTTCTTTTTGGGTCGTGTATTAGATATCGTATTCAGTCCGGATCATTTGCCATCTTGCTATTCTTTCGGAGAGTGCGGGCTTCTCGAAGATGTACTTTATCAGATCCATCTTAGATATCAACAAAGTAGTGTGGGTCAACATATACTGTCTCAGTCGGCGAGCAGCCCATGCCAAAGCGTAGCAAGTTTTCTCGAGCAGTGAGTATCTTGTTTCACAATCAATAAACTTTTTACTAAGGTAGTATATTGCATGCTCTTTTCGATCGGACTCGTCATGCTGCCCCAACACGCACCCCATTGAATTATCTAACAATGTTAAGTACATTATCAAAGGTCTTCCTTCAATCGGAGGCATCAGAATTGGAGGCTCTTGAAGGTATTCTTTGATTCTCTCGAAGGTGGTCTGGCATTCGTCGTTCCACTTTACCACTTGATATTTCTTCAGGAGTTTGAAGATTGGCTCACAAGTAGTAGTTAAATGGGAAATGAACATGTCAATGTAATTTAGGCGTCCCAAGAAGCCTCTAACCTCTTTCTCAATGCGAGGAGCCGGCATCTCTTGTATAGCTTTCACCTTTGCAGGGTCTACCTGAATACCTTTGTCACTGACGATGAATCCTAGGAGTTTACCAGACCTTACCCCGAAAGTGCATTTGTTCGGATTTAACCTCAGCTTGTACGTCTTCAACCTATCAAATATCTTTTGTAGATGATCAAGGTGCTCTTCCTCAGTTTGAGACATTACTATAATGTCATCAACATAGACCTCTATCTCATGGTGAATTTCAAAGCATAAACATTGATTCTTTAATTAATGGAATTTAATTTAATTTAGTTTTTTAAAATTTGTTTTGATCTAAAACAAGAAATCTTTTGACATTATTATATTATTTTTATAAAAATTTATTTAATTAATTATGTATGATTTTGTTTTATAATTTTTTTTAAAAAAATCATAAGTTTAATGGATCAGTGATACTAGTTAGTATATTCGTGCGAGGCAATGGTTAAACTTTTTTATATTAAAAAATGTTAGTCATAAAATTGTTTATTTAAATTGGCTAAGTGAATTATCTCAAAAATTATTAGCCATAAAATTATTTACTATTAAAATCAATAGTGAATAATAAAAAATTAAATAAAAATAAAATTAATCAAATTAATTGACATTTATTAGCTATCATAAAATAATATAATAAAAATTTATATAACGATAAAATTGGAAAGATTTGATATTATCATCAATTATTAACTATTAAAATAAATTTTATAATTATTACCCATATAGTTTAATATTATCATCACAATCTCTTATAAAATTTGTCTATGAAAAACAATTCTTGAAAAAGACAAATATCTTAAATTGATATCACTGAATCTCTTATAAACATATAATTTAATTTGTAAGCATAATCAATGTAAAACGTTTTGACATGATACACAAACGGGAGAATTCGGGTTTTGAGATCCATAAAACTGTGCTATCCTTAGTGGAGCATAATCTAACCAACCACTGGACCGAACAATAAGATACTCTCTTGTCAACAATGTGGTCATGTTTCGATACTGCAACATCACAACATATCAGCATTCAATAGAGATTCATGCTAAAACACAGAACTTAGCAGGCATAAAATAAAAAGGATCAAAATGCACATGTTCTCACAATAGCATTCAAATTAAGCAAGTTGATAATGGTACTCGAATATATTAAGATTACTTTACCTGTAAGAAATTAAGAATCTAGTATTCAATGAAGAAATTTAGTACTATAACATACCAATCAAGCAACTTCTGCAAAGTAACTGAAAAAACCAAGTGAAAAAATTAAAAAGTGGAACTCATGAACTGAATTAGAACCAAAGACATAAATAAATTTTCATTTGAGAACACATGAGGCATTCCTTTACTCTTCATCTCACTGTAATTTCTTCTTTTCAAATAACCAAAATCAAATTGAAAACCACAATTTTCTCAACAAAATAACATGGAAATCGATTGATTCAAGAATAAAAAAAAAGCCAAAAAATCAAAAAAAGAAAAGAAAAAGAAAAGAGATCTCACCACCTATGAGATCAGTCGGTGGTGAATGGCTCCGGTTTTTTTAACGCAAATTTAACGGTGGGGGTAGCTTTGGAGTGCATGGTGTTTCTAGCAGAGGTATTGCGTGTGGCGTGGTGCAGGGCGTGGTCGCGGTGGTCGCTTTCGGTTGGAAGAAGAGGTGTGATTTCGACGATGGATTTTCTTGGACGGAGATGCCGTTGACAGTGCCGACGATTAAAGTAAAGAGATACATACCATGAGAGCCATTAACTCCTTCTGTAATATGCAATTTCTTTTTCTTTTTTTTTTATAGAAAAAGCAAGACTTTATTAACAAAAAACAATTATACAAAGTTAATCCGGAGATTCAAGAGCCCACAAAATATTAAATTAACTAAAATTATTAGCATAGTTACTTAGGACCTATGTTTGTTACATCTAATTTTAATAGTTTGTTGTATTCTATCTACAATATTATCCTTCAAATGAATTCCATTGAAAATAAAACAATTCTTATCGTGTCAGATTTCATAGATAGTCTCTACAAGGGACATTTTCAGCAATATATCACACGCTTTTTTCCTTCTAGTCCTGCCTATTAGTCACATTAGTTCTTGTGCAGAAATGACTTTTTACATCGGTTCTGGGTCTGATGTAAAGTCAGGCGATATAGTAAATCAGGTACTTTTTACATCGGTTCTGGGACCGATGTAAAAAGTCTATTTTTTACATTGATTATAATATAAGAATGATGTAATATTACAATATTTTTTTAAAAAATGATGTAATTTTTTACATCGGTTGGAAGTAATACCCGATGTAAAAAGTCCATTTTTTACATCGGTTATAATATAAAAATGATATAAGAAACAGTTATTATGCACATTTTTTAAAAAAATTGATCCAGTTTTTTACATCGGTCGGTAGTAATACCCGATGTAAAAAGTCCCTAGTGACGCAACTTTTTACATCGGTTATTACTCCCAACCGATGTAAAAAGTCTCTTTTTGATAGTTTTTAGATCGGTTTTGAGTAATAACCGATGTGAAATGTATGAAATTTTTTGGGAATAGATTATTTATTTTCTGGATGTTTCCTTGTACAAATATAATTTGTACCCATTTTTTCATATTTTTCCAATATCAGACAGACTATATTTATGTCGCTATATAGATTTCATAGCTTTCCAACATCACATATACCACATCTAGGTCGATGTTTTCATATTTTTCACAACAAACTTACAAATTGAACAATTGTATTGCAAATTTGTATTGTATTACAACAAACTTACAATTACAAATTCTTCACAAAATATACAACAATATTCAACTATTTATAAGTCTTTTTCAAAACTTACAATTACATATTATTCACAAAATATACAAAAATACTCAACTATTTCTAAGTTTCCAAACTTGAATTACCAATATAAAATCTTCGGTAGACAACACCAAAATCACATTGCCTGACAATAAATAATAACAATTAACATCAGCAAAAAAAATCAATAAACTCAATACATGTGCAAAAACCACATGTATTGTGCAAAACCCACAACTTATACAATTATATAAAACTCACCAAGATAAACTTAATTTTCATGTAACTCAAAGAAACATTTTGCCCAACGAAGTCGCAAATCATACAAATCATCTGGTGTTAATTATGTTGGGTCATCAAATACCTATAATACATAAATATAACAATATAGAGTTATTTTTAAAAAAATTCATATTAAGTCGAAAAACAAAAAGTAAATAACAAAGTAAAGTTATTTTTAGTACCTGCATCCAATTCTCGGTTATATTAGCAGAGACAATATCCAACATATTTTTCATCGCATAGTATCCACAATCATTAGAGTTATGTTGTTGCCTTGTCTACAATTGAATGACATAATTAGTGAATATTTATCATAAATTTAACTATAGAATTACAATTTACATCACACTTACATTGGGATGAAGCCATGTAGCCTTTTTTCTATTTCCATTTGCCATTTGATGAATCCCAAAAGAACTAATACAGAAAGATAAACATCACATAGCTAAATTTACTCGCCAATGAAAAATCACATAACTATTAGTTGTCAATGAAAGTCACATGAAAGATAAACTTACTTTGTAATAATTTTCTTCGTGTGATGGTCAATTTCCCGATGAAGTGAACAAAATACGACAACTAAATTGTCTCTTAGACACATGACTATTAATTGCCAATGTCTCCTGTACGTGTGTGTGGAAACAGAAAAGTCACATAAAATATATATGTTATCAAAATTAAATAATATAAAACACAATTTCATAAAAATTCTTATCCATGAATTAATGGTAGTAAGTGGCACACTCTGTTTTCATCACGTAACTTTTCTAGTACAAAATTTCAATGATCGAGACAATGCGTCCAACAAAAACACTGCATGGCATACATTCAAGTGGAATATGCTAACAAACAAGCTAGAATATAAAAGGGAAGTTTAGCTGTAAACTCCAGGTCTAGGATCTTTCCTGTGCTTCTCTTCAGTGTACAATACAATTTTATTCATATTTTGACCATGTTTGGAGACATAAGACAAGATAGGACTAGGAATGATTGCAGTAAAGAGAAAGTTGGGATAGTACCTACTATGGAAAACTGTGTTTTACACATGTGTGGACGGACATATAGAAGTCCCAATAAGAAGTGTAGATCACACCAAGGGTTTTCCAATGGTTAGGAGGAGGCCTGGAAACACTATGGACCAAACCATTAAGAATGGTTTTAAAATGGTACTTTTTGAGTAAATGTGATTTATGAGAAGACATTATGACATCGTCGCTTGATTCATGAAATCTGAATAAACAAAGAGGAAAAATACTTTGTTATTGTTGTGTTGCGTGTGACTATTCTCAGTTGTTTTGACTTAGCAAACATGAGATTAGCAAGCCATATTCATGATTTAAAATGATAACCCCATGCATACCTACTTTCAAAAGAAAAAATGTGAAAAAAAACTACATATATCAACTATGACTAAAAAGTAAGGTAAAAAAATGCATTCTTGCAAAATATGTATACATAAACTTAAAATAGTGATGTATATTGATTTAGCATATTGTGGATTAGAAGTTAATGAAGATACTTTCGTGGTGGAAATAAAGTAAAGTAAAAACAGACAGACTCAAGTAGTGTCTTTCTTTACACTAACAGTGGATGATTAGTTGGCAAAGGTGCATACCTCAGATGGAATCTGCGATCCAGCGTTATTTACTATTTGTATAGGACAAGGACAGACAACAGTTACCTGGATTCCTTTCTGACAGAGCTGCCACCATAAAAAGATTAGTGGTTCAAGATGTGTATTGTAAGATAATAGTTGGATAAAACAACATCAAAGATAATAAAAACTATCTATATACCTCTGAACGTAAGGAATGGAAGTACCCATTTAATGCAAATTTAGAAGCCGAGTATATAGCCTGACCTGGGGCAGGTGTCTTTCCTACTGCACTACTCATCTGACGATAAATATAGAACAAAATGGTGTAAACTTATGAAGAGGAAATGGAGATGAAATTTAAGATATCTAATGAACTCCAACAACACACGTTAGTTATGACCCTGGTCAGAAAGACAGAAACTAACACACAACATAATGAATATATGCCAATATATTATAACCAAACGGTTAAAGTTGTGATTGTTCATTCAAGGATAAAATGTAAATGAAAAGCGAACTAGTGACTACTCTCTACTGTTTACTTGTGTGTGTCTCTGTTAATATTAATAAACAAATTTAGTCACAAACATCTTCTGCAAGCTCCACCCCTATGATGTATTTTAACCACTCATCAAAATCCCTAACCTAACCTAACCCATAACTAACTAGCAAACCTAACCTATATTTTGAATAAGTCACATTATGGATCAAATAAGTGAAGAATGTGACTTACAGTTGAAACGGCGAGCGAGGAAGGGCGTGAATAGGCCTGTGAAAAGTCGTGAACAGCGTGAACGGCGGCGAGGAGACGTGAAACAACGGCAAGGAGATGTGAAACGGAGGCAAGGAGACGTAATCAAATTTCATACCTTAAATACCTTCCACTTCTTAGCATCAAATTCTTAAGAAATCCTACGTGTGAATGAACATTGTAAGGAGAGAAACCAAGTTGTGGATCCCTACAACACTCTTGAATAGCTGTAAGAACCTATTCAAATGTTCAAGTCAAAACATGAGCAGAGTGTAATAAACTTCCCAGTTGTGATAGGAAATGAAATAAGTGTAGGATATTGTCACAGAAACAAGTAACAGTTGAATCCCAAAAAAAAAATTAGTAATAACATTCCATACCTTATTAGCAGGATCAGTTTGGAGTAAGCATTTGTCAACGTTTATAATCTTATCAAAAAAACCAGGAACATGCAATCCAAGTGCATAATTCTCACTTCCACCATCAACATTTCCTCCGTGCAGCAACTCTTTAGGCAACCATTTATAAGGACCAAATGAGAATTCCATCTAGACAAGAAAGAAAACAGACCACAACACATCTTAATTATCAACTAAATGCATCTACATCGGACATTTAGTTTTTGAAAAAGACAAAACCAAACAGAGCAATAACTGACTAACTAACCAACCTTGTTCCTATAATGAAATTGAATATCACAAGGAACAATAGGCTTCATAATCCCATGCAATTCCAATTCTTTCTGAGAAAACCTTCCAACATGTATGATTAAGTCGCGAACCTGTTTGTATAAAGAGCTTAATTAATTGCTTATAGATTATAAAATCAAACTGTTTCTATATAAACTATAAAGTGTTAGCATAAGCTATCATGCCGAATCTATGAAGATGTTATAGCATATTTTACAAATTCTTCCTAATGGTCTCACAAAAGTGCATATACGACACTAAATAAGCTGGAATAGACGAATCGAAATATCTTGTATGTCACAAACCTGTTCCTCTTTAGCTTTAACCTGAGCTTGATAAGCCAAATTCTGCGTCTTGCAACCACCACAATGAGGAACATAGACACAAGGAGCATCTACAGTATGAAAAGGAGGAGTTAAAGTTTGAAGCTTAGTAGCTTCAGCGTAATTACCCTTTTTCCGAGTGATACGTCCGATGAAGCGTTCACCGGGGAGGGCACGGTCGCACATGACAACATAACCGGTTTCGGTGACTTTGCATAGACCTTTTGCCATTGAATGTGAGGGATTCACAGAGCAATTCGAGGGTTTGGCCGCGTTTAGAGAAATAAGAAGTGGCATTGGAATTAGGGGTGGTGTTGGGTTGGGGTTGTGGTTGTGGTTGTGGAATGGAACATGAGAGAGTAGAGAGAGGAAAACGATAAGAGGGAGATGAAGATGAAGAGGTGATGGGAATTTGAATGGAACCTATTACCCGATGTAAGGGTTTGAAACCTATTACATCGGTGGAACCTATTACGCGATGTAAGGTTTTGAGCCTAAGCAGTTTTTTACATCGGTTATTTGGTGGACCGATGCAAGCGTCTTTTTATTAGTTTTTTACATCGGTTTAAAATACGTCTCGATGTAATTTTTTTAATATATTTTATATATTAAAAATCTGCCTGTGAACCTATTACATCGGTTTTTAGTTAAACCGATGTAATATCTTGCTTGTTTTTTATTTACATTTCTGCCACCTTGTTTCTTATTTACAAAAATGCCACCGTATTTTTTTCTGAAAACCTTTTACATCGGTGGATGAGATTGCCCGATGTAATAGGTAGCGAAATATATTTTTTTTCTTATTTTTTATATCATTGCAAATAAATACCTGATGTAAAAAGTTTGTTAATTGTATTTTTTACATCATATATTTTGATACCCGATGTAAAAACCTTTTCTCAAATGTCTTTTTTTTAGTAGTGTATCCCAATCACAAGGGCTATGGGTAATATTCTGCCAAATCAAGATTTACAACCAAATATTTTTTGTGTAATGACATTCAAAGAATAAATGCTGCAGGGTTTCCTCATTAGTATAATAAATACAGCAATTATCACCAATAAAACCAAATTTCTTTAATCTACCTTTAGTAGGGATCCTCTTCCACAAAGTCATCCATAAAAAAAGCACGCTTTAGGCCTAGCATTGTTGTCAAAGAGCATTCTTTTCCAACTGACATGAGGAACATTACCGCATAAGGTCTTATACATACAACCTGTGTTATACTTCCCATTCACGACCGCATCGTGCCAATACACATTACTACTAATACGGTCTTTGTATTTGAAAATTCTTTTCACAATCCAGGAACTAGAATTGGATCCTTGCCAAGCTAAAGCATTATGCCCTTTATAACACGGTGGGAGAACTAACTTGGTTGTTTTGCGTTTGATCGCAATTGTGCGGTTAGTAAGAGTCGTCATCGACTTTTCTTTTATCCAATAAGGAAAGGCTGAAAAGAATAGGAAAGACCTTTAGAGATGTTTTCTGAGTTCGGGGGATAGATTATGAAAAGGGAAGGTATTAGCACCCTATTCATCTGTAGTTATCTACGGGCTCTTAGTTGCTTGCTAGATCACTTGCTTTTGTTTGAAAGTATGCTTGTGATGTGGGTTTTGAAAGTATTTTTGAAAATGTCTTTATAATGGTTCTCGTTTCTATAAGAACGCGTACAAAGTGTTGTTTCGAAAATAGTTCAAAAATGTGTTGGTGGAATGTGTTTTGAAAGTGATTTTGAAAAGGTGTCTTATTTGTAATGACTCTCGTTTCTATAAGAACGCGTACAAAGTGTTTGTCTTTTGAAAATGTTTCAAGATGAAAGTGTTGGTGTAAAACATATTTTGTTTTGAGCAAGCGAGCAACTAGGAGGAAATCTGCCTACTCAAAAGGTCTTAAATGGTCTTTTCCTCCTCCTTTAGATATTGCTACCTTACCATTGTTTTGGTAAGAAGCCCCATCATTGGATGTAAAGGGACGGGCGTGGGACGTTTGTATAGTCATAGAAGGCAACCTATGGAACGTTTTAGCAATGTTGTTTTAGGGACTAGATCATTTACCAAAGACAACATTGAGGGTCATCGAGGGACTACGATCTTTTATCGAGGGTCTTTGCTAAAACGCCCATATTCAAAGGACATGACTATTTTCCGATAGGCAACAAAATGGGATTACCCTAAGGGTGCTAGTGTGCAAGTGTGTTTGATTTACATGCGTTTAGTCTTGATTAGGGTTATCTATTTATTGATTTTATCTTGCCATACACACCCTAATTACTAGCATTTATATTTGAAAGCAATAAATTGCGGAAATGTAAAGGTGCTATGCTATTACATCATTTAGGGATGGGGATACAAATTTACAAATGGGGGGTTGTAAGAATTTAAATCCTAATTAACTATTACAACCATATTGAAATGTACAATGCAATAAAGAAAAATGACTTGTTTAGAAAATAGTTTTTTGTCTTAATGAATTAAGAAAAAGAAATAAATTAATTAATAAAAAGAAAATATTTTTATGTCTTTTTTTATATTAATAAAAAGGGTATTAATATTGAAAATTATTAAAAAAAAAAGAGGAATAATGAGAGATAGAATTAGCATGCTACTGAAAGAAAAACAAAAGGGATCAGAAGTTCTGATGTCGGGTGCGTTGTGGTTCAAAAAGAAACGTCAGAGGAAATAAGAAGTTCTGGATTGATACACTCTAAGATCCTGCAAGAAACGTTAGAGGGAAAACACAGAAGTTCTGAGTTGCTACGCGTTGGACTTCTGAGTGTTAGAACAGTGAGAAAGTTTTAGAAGTTCTATGTATTAAAACAATGAGGAGAACTCAGAAGTTCAGTATGTGTTAAGACATTGAGTGAACATCAGAAGTTCAGTGTGTGTTAACAACGAGTGAAAATCAGAAGTTCTGTGTGTGTTAAAATGGTGAGGAGAACTCAGAAGTTATGTGTTACATTTAAACTCTTTCCTCATATTAATCAGCACATCAGCAATTTATTCAGTCCTTAACAACAAATCAGAGGGATAAAAGCACAACAGTTTATAGAAGTTCTAATTCTAATTCTGAGCCTAGCTTTATTCAAGAAGTTCTGATGCATAGTTTTTCTACTTGTGCAATGATATGGACAACATCAATACTATGGTATTTACATATTTAATTATGTTCTAAATGAAAATATGCAAAGTCAGAAAGACCTACCTTAAATATGGAGCGCGTGCTTGGAACTTGAGTTGCTACCTTCAGATGTTCTGGAGTCAGCGAGAGCAAAGGAACATAAAATATTATGTTCTTTTTCAAAGGGAAGAATAGAAATTTGGTTTTCTGTTTGGGAATTCTGGATTTTTGCGAAGGTTTTACAGTTTTATTTTCTCTCTTTTGATAATTCTCCCTCTCTCCAAAAGCCAGCCACTTACAAGTGTGATGGAGCAACTTATTTATAGGTGAGTTTGTTGTGGTTTTAGGGGGGAAACAAATGGGATTTGAACATTTTTGGTATACTGTTCCATTTCTTTTTAATCACAGCTTTTGTATGCTAATTTGGTGCAAATATGGGGTTTGAGAAAATGCAGGCGCGGACTGGATCAACAGTTGATTGCAGGACTGTGTTGTAGCAGTGCAGCAGGTTGCTTAAATGAGGTTTTGGGATTTGGTGATGTTCTGACCGCAGAAGACCAGAAACGTAGCCCCCATATACTAACGAGCCAATGTTCTGGCCAAAGAACATTATTTCCCTATCTTCTGATTGAAGGGTCATATTCTGAACCGTCTTTGCAAATTCTGATTGCGCTTGCGTGGGGGCCGGCCCAGAAGTTCTGAAGTACCATATTCTCTTAACACTTAGAAAATTTTCTAAATGCTTAGAAATTTGATCTTTTCAAAGTAATTCTTGACTTCTGATTTTGATGAACTAATTTCATGTCTTGATGAAATATAATTGTTAAAACTTGATTTTTGATCCAAAAGTCAAAGTTTGAATTTTCAGTGTGCTTTTGACCATTTTGCCCTTGTGAATGATTTTCTTGGAAAATTGTAATTCAAGGCTTGAAACTTGATAGAAGAAAACCTGAGGGTCCAGGATGATCTTTTGAGAAACGAGAGGGCAAATTTTGAAGTACAACACCCTTTGAAACAAAAGCTGTTCGACCACCTAATTCATAACCTGTCTACTTTCATGTGGATATTCCAAAGCAGTTTACCAAGCAAAGCTTGACTCCGTGTATAAAGATTGATAATATTCAAACCCCTAGCCACTCTAGGTTGGTAAACTGAATCCAAAGCTATTAGAGCTTTCCTACTGACTACTTTAGATCTACTCCAAAGAAAACTACGACAAATGGCATCAAACTTTTGCAGGACCTGTTTAGGAAGGGGCGGGACTTGCAGCCAATAAGCTGAAATAGCAAAAATGATACTTTTAATCAACTGGAACCTACCAGCATAACTCAAGAGTTGAGAAGTCCAATGTCTAATTCTCATTGTAATTTTCTCAATCAGGGGATGACATTGATGAATGGAAAGCTTCCTACTCCCCAAAGGAACTCCTAAATATTTGAAAGGCGGGCTCCCTTCTCCAAAACCAGTAAGCTACAAAATATCTTGTTTGACCATCTAATGGACACCTCCAAAGTAGACTCGACATTTCACTGGTTGAACATACAGTCCTGTGGCTTGGGAGAAATACTTAAAAATATTCATTTGGCTGCTCACAGAAGTGGTATCACCTCTAAATAATAAGATGAGGTCATCAACAAAACTAATGTTAGTTATGCTGAGTTTTTTGCAGCAAGGGTGAAATTTAAAATTCTGCATATGAACAAGGTAGGTTAAGGTTCTGTGAAGATATTCCATGACGATAACAAACAGTAGTGGAGATATTGGATCTCCCTGCTCATACCTCTTTTAACTTTCAATAGTTCAGTCAACTGGCCATTAATAGAGAACCTGTACGAGACTGTTCTGACGCATTCCGTAATCCACTCCATAAATCTTCCAGGAAAATTCATCTCCTTCATGATCGTGGCTAATGCAATCCACTCCACTGTATCATAAGCTTTATGAATATCCATTTGTATAGCGCACCTAGGGGAAATATGTTTGCGATTGTATCTCCTCAAGAGCTCGTATGCCATTAGGATGTTGTCTTGAATCAATCTTCCAGGTAGGAAAGCAGATTGGCTGACATCAATAACTTCATTAATTACTTTGCTGAGCAGATTTGTAAGAATTTTTTACATAATCTTATACATTGTGGTACAACAAGCAGTGGGATGAAGATCCTTCATACAATCTGC